GGCGTCCGCCTGCGCGCTTCTCCCCTTCAGCTCGGCCCGCGTGTCCCGGGAAGGAGGGAGAAGGGAAGGGTCTGCCCGGCACGGAGGGGCCCTGCGTGTCCCAGGGCCCGGGAACGAAGGAGGGGTCTGCTCCTCCCAGAGCCTCCTCCGAGCTGCGGGAGCTGCGAAGGGCTCTCGGGGATCAGTGGGTTTTCTAAGTGGAAACAGGACTTTCTGACTTGGGGGGAGGGGGGGGGTTTGGCACGATCGTGATTCTTCCCGGGAGGTGCTCCTTGCACATGGAGGAGGCACGTTGTCTCTCCTTCCCTGCTCTTCCTGCTTCCCAGCTCTGTGGCACCACCTCAGGCTGTAGCTTCTCAGATACCAGCGATGCCCACCACAGGGTAGGGCTGCACACGTTTCCAGCAAAAAAAAAAAAGACCCTCTTCACTTTTAAAACAGCGTTCAGATTTGTCTTCTGGATGGCTGCACTCGATAGGGTTGAGTTAGATGTCTGTGCCAAACTGGTCACGGTCAGTGGGGTTGTAACAGAGCTTTTTATATCTGTGGATGTTCCTCAGACACGTGTGAGGTCCCTGCTGCTGGTTGTCAAACCAGGGTTGTCCTGCAGTGGGGAGCCTGTCTCCTGTTAAGGACTGTGCTTTGTAAGAGCCTCCACGTCTGTGGAAAGTGTATCTCACTCTCAGCAGTTATTCAGAGTTTGCATATTAACTTGTCATGCTTTTATAAAAGTTGACAGAACATTAAAGCCCTTAGATTTATATATATATTTTTTATACTGCTTAAGCACAAAGCAGGTGATTATCCAAAACCCTTTATACTCATATACATGGACTTTATTACTCAATATTTTACTGATGAGTCAAGACTACCTAAGTGGAGGCTGGTAGGCATTTTTGCACTTTTCCTTGCCTTCTTCAGTGTTGTGTTTTAACTTTCTCAGGAAGGAGATGGTTCTATACCAGCTTCTTAATTGTGTTAGAAGTTTGAAGTCGTGTCAGTGATAACATTGTTTAACCTGAGAATATTCCTTGTTTTCCCTTCTGCTCCCTGAAGTCGCTTGACGGGTGAGGAAGGCAAAGAATTCACTGCAGACCTCAGGAAAAACTTCCCTCAGCTTTGGAAAGTGTTTAAGGTATGTCTTT